TACCCTGAGGAAGCCTGCGACATGTCAGGCGAAACGTCTGCCTCTCCGCCAACGACGTGGCGTCTCCCGGATAGCCGAGAATTTAATAAAATAAGTTGCCCGATTTGTTGAGTAGATTAGGGCAGAGAATTGGCAGACATTTTAAGGCTTCGAGATACGTGATAGCACTGATCGAACTGAACAACTCCAATGGGGCACCAACAACCCCCAGTATATCGCATGTGGGAAGGTACAAGAATTGGTACAATACGTCCACTGCAAAAACGCACATTAGGGGCCACGGGAGATCTTGATTCCCGAACGAGAGTTGTACTATTGGAAAGGTGTCGCACGTGATGTTCGGCGAATCATCGGGCAGTGTCAGACGTGTTTGTCGATTAAACATCCTAATCGCAAACACGCGGGTGAAATGCACGCCGTTACATTACTCGCGCAACTTTTCTTTAACGATGACCTTGCTTCCCCCTCTCTAGTACAACAAACAGATGAAAGGCAAAAGCTCGTAGCGAGCGCTGATGACAATGTTCCACACACATCTTCACTCGGCGAAATAGAAACGATTTTCTTTTGAAGACGAGAACTTCTGTCCGTTATTTTCTCAAAAAATCTAAAGAAATGACCCTAGCAGGTAAAGACCTATTACAGGGATACCACGAACACCTGAGAAAGTTAGAACGCAAATTATTGAGAACGTTGCGAAGGCATGACTGATTCTCCAGAGATTGGCATTGCTTCATAAAATATAGTGGCCGATTTCGTAACAACACGCATTTCTTCAATTCATCGTTAAGGAAAAGTTGCGCGAGTAATACTAAACCGCCGGGATGAGTTGCTGACCATTGACATCTATGGACCGCTGCTGAGAACCACCAACGCGAACGGCTGCTGCTGATGGTTGACACGTTCTCGAAATTTACGCGGTTATATTCCCTAAACAAGACTAATGCTGCCAACCTCTTACGTCGACTACAGGCACATTTCGAAATCGCGGGAGAGTACAAGGCTCTGAGCGACCCCGACGCGCACTGCACCAGTGACCATTACCGTCAAGCGTTGCAGGAAAGAGGCGTCACCCCAATATACTCGGGCTTACGCCATCCGCAGTCAAACCCGTTGGAATTAGAGGCAGATGACGGAATTATCCAGACTCTCCAGGACGCATTGCCACCAACGCCACAATGAATGAAACCTGCTAATCATCCACATGCACGTTTGGCTCATCTGAGATCACCAACGGTGCCACGGCGTGGGAGGTGCACTTCGGGACCAAACCACCAACGCACCATACGCTGGAGACGCTCGATCGCGAGGAAATCAGGGTGAGAGACGGATTCTGACTGAAGAACAAGTATTCCGAGAGGGGAAGTGGAAGAAAAAGAAGCATCAAGGCGTACGAAGGACGCTGACGCGACCGAAGTAGCACGCGGCAGAATATACAAGACAATTTCACGGTAGCAACACACTCTGTTGTCACAATTCGGAACCTCTTGCAACTTATAAGTTATGACCTAAACGTGCAAAAACACCTCGATTTCTCTCGTTATTGATATCGATAATGTCTTCGATTTTTTTACGTTCAAGGCACCACAAACTCCCTACTATGCTTTGTGTATTTGAATAGTTGGAACGCAGACCAGGACTTAGAGGTAATGGAAAGACGCACATGCCTCCCTCGACGAAGGTTTCAGAGCAGTGGGTCGCCGCAAAGCTCGCACGAGTGTGCGGAAATTGTTTTATTATGTGACGTACGATTCAGAGTAATTTTAATACTCAAAATTCATTATCTTCATTTTCGCCGACCCCAGCAGTGCTGGGGCTAACTGCATGGCTCTGATGATACGTTGGACAAGAGATAATTACGCGCTCGTTAATTGACGTTCAAGACACACCACATCGTAATACAGAAAGGGGACACGATATCATCGTAATATGTGAGAGGGCAAAATACTTCGAAGACAATTGTGTCTCTCTCTTACTAATGAGTAGTCATCAACTACATCTGCTGCAAGATAAAAAAATAATATATAATAAATAGACATGCGGTCGGCCCGTGGCGCAGACGGTTGCGGCAGCCGTCGTCTGTACCGAGGAGGCTGCAGGTTCGAGTCCTGCGTCGACATGGTCGTGTTTGTGATTGTCCCTTCACTATATCATCCTTCAATCTTCATTAATTCACAACTTCAAGCGTACAAACCTTGTGGAAACCAAGTATACAGCTAAAGCGAATCCTGGAAGAATTACACAAGTTAGTGTAGCGTGGTCAGTAACGGCCTATACGCTAATAATAATAATAATAATAATAATAATAATAATAACAACAATAGACAGGCGGGTCCACAGTGGGGCGATAAGAGAAATCCCCCCACCCCTAATTATTTCAGTAACTATTAATTTAAATTTTTCATGAAACCTGTAAGTGGGAAGTGGAGCTAAAACAATACCTTTCTCGCCCGTATTTTCACGCAAAACTGCGCGCAAAGTACTCAAATTTACGAAAAATTCTACATGACCTTATTTCAAAACATATCTTTAAGGAACAGATTTTATTAAGTGAAAAAATCTAGATCTCTAATATTTTAATTGTAGGAAGACTCCGAAAATGACAACTTTTCAATTTTCCAAAAATTATGTTTTTCAACGAATATGATATCTGCACCATTCTCTTATAAGTTCTTTACTCTATTTAACCAAAAAAGGTGGAGTTTATTTCTGTTAAAACAAAAATGGAAAATGTCCCATGAGATTCATGTAAGATATCCCCCAAAACTGAAATACTCGGTTTCAAATTCCAGGGACCGTACCATCAGTCAGATCGATTGGCGAGTATCAATTTTGGAGACTGTTGGCTGAACGGTTTAGCCGCAAGTGTTGTTCACAGGCTGACAGACGTTTAACCGTCATTCGATTTTTCAGTTTCACGTACCCACAAAGCATAAATTTTGGCTACACGTGTGAAAGGATTTTTTCTAAATATAGCAACCGGATTCATCCAATCTTTCGATAAGAGTTTTTCTGCCGAAAATATGCCGTTTTTTCGCGCAGCATTACATAACTTTCTCTCTAATCAGTAAAAATCACTAGTCTACACAAAAACGTTTTTCTCTGTAACAAGAACAAAACACACTGTTTCTTGAAGATAATTTGCCTTTCAATTGAGATCTAATTTTAGAATTTCTGTATCGGCCTCAGTTTTCATGTGTGATGGTTTTTGTAATTACGTGTCTCCCTATGTATTATGTGCCTGGCAAAATGCCACGCTCTATTAAGAACAGTAGACACGAATACAGTAAGAAATATAACATAAATGTTAAGAAAAGTGGAGAGGAGGCTTGGAATGTTGTGTCAGCATGAATACCTCCTCCTCTGTCTTGTGAATATTTGTCATTGTAGGATTCTTCTTATTTCAATGTATTCACTTCTCGGAAGATACTTGTACCTTCACTGTGATAAGCAGGCCTTATAGCAGATGTTAAATCGCGATATTGCTCAGTTTTCTTCGTTTATGAGGTGATTCCAGCTATTTGTGTCAGGCCGAAATGTCTGTTATGTGATCCGTTGGCTTCCTCCAAATCATGGGAGCAGCGAAGGACATGCGCCGTCATGCCTTTTAACCAGCATGCCACGAGTGTAACACCCGACATATGTAGGAGGCCCATGTTTTATCTCGGTCACCTATCTTACTTGCGAAATAACGTTCATAACACTCACTCAGAGGATAAAGGTGCGGTTTTTGCGATTTAAGGTTTAATTTTCCACAGATATAACGTATTAGGGCTATTTACACAATTACAAGGCTCTTTTTTCTGAATTAATACAAAGCACAAACCTTCACGAACTTAGAACAGGTCTTCATATCCCAGTCGCTTTCCACGCTGTCATATCACTCAATGCTGGGACGCAACTGGCAAGAAAAAAAAACAAGGTGAAACATCTGTTCGAGCAGGACTTCTCAGCAATGTTGCCACACTTCTTTCATCTCCTAAAGGCGGATATTCTGAATTTCGAGTCACGTATACGAAGTCCTTAAACTACACATTTCGATTGATGCAAAATAATTAAATGAACCTACAGCAACATAACCGGTATGCAGCGTTTTCAAACATTTTCTTAAATATGGAGTAGGGTGTAACAAGAAAACTGAGCCAGATACGCAAAAACTGATTTCATATTCGAAGTCAGTGTTGAAGTCTTAGCTAAGAACACCATTCACATTCTTTGTTACAAAAATGTTTTTGACCAGTGATATTTGCGGATAATCATAAAAACTAATAAAATCGTACTACCGCAGCAAGAGCTGAGTTTAGCCTGAAACATTTTACATATCCTATAATATGACACTTTCGACCAAAACATTTTTAAAACAAAACTATCTTCATGTATAGATTACACTCAACTCACAGTCGGACATTTATATAGCATCCCTAGGATGGTGAAATATAACTAAGGGACAGATTTTGATGACCTGAGACATCGCTAAAATGATCAATGCAATTCTCTTAAAATGTTTTTAAAATGCCCTAAAAGCAAAGTGACGTAAACTTTTTTATGACAAATTCAGATGCGTAATTCAAGCTCTTGGATATGTTACTGATGTAATCGCAGTGTCAGATCGGGGCCATGCCCAAAAAAAGAAGCCCAGACAAAAATTAAATGGTAAAAGAGCAGAAAAAATATAAAAAGAGAAACGCTAGAAAAACTTGTGAAACATCTAAAATGAATCGAAAAAATAACCACTCTTTCTGTCCTTAGCCTTTTAGTTATGGAATGGGAATCTTGAATTTAGACGTATTTTAGCCCAATGTTACGTATGGAAAATGGCTTCGACTGCTCTCCAGCCAGAGGCGTGTGACAGGTCGTGTTTCTTACTTCGCGACAAGCAATACCACGTCGACTGCCACGTATTGCAGTGTGGCCGACGCAACCGAAAACTGTTGATAGAGTAAGGTCTCTCTCTTGGTGCCAAGCCAGTGATCGTGCGCCGCAGTTAGTGTGGCCGAAACAAAAGAATTGGGCATAGATCGCTTACACGCATCTGGAAACGGCGCGGTTAATAAGTACTTACGAAGAGAAAGACAATATTTAAAAAGAATAAGAGGAAAGAGAAAGAAATGTAATTAAAAGAATATGTGAAGTGGCTTGAAACATTTTGTGAAATACTGTCGTCTTTCTTCCGTCCTGGACAATTAATATTAAATTTAATATTTTATTTTATTAAAAACTTATTATAAATAATGTATCTTGTTTATAATTTATATTCTCACACACACCATACACATACACAGTCTCTGGATAGACCCCAGAAATAGAGAAAATAAAGGAAATTGAAGTTTAGAAATCTATTTATTTATAATATTATCAATTGCTGATATAAGTCTTATACATTGATCATGTGATAAATTTAAAAACACCAAATTCAATACTATTGCATAATAATTTGTGAAGTTATCAGCACAAACTTATCTTGAAATATAGAAGAATAAAACATTTTAATGTAAATTTACATTGTTATTAAAATGGAACAGAATTTTGTTATAAAAATGTACACATATGGTTATGCATTTTGTCTTCAAAAATAACTTTTAAAAACAAAAAATATGTACATAGGCATTCATGATAGCGTTAAAAATTTCTCCATAAAACCATTTTCAAATTTTTGGAGACAAAACTTTGCCAATCATACCTTAAAAAGCATTTGGAGTCTCTGAACTTACTCATACTTTCTACCGTTCATAAGTGCCAGCGAGACTTTTCTACAAAATATAAAATACGTACATATGTACAATGTTTACGAGAGGAGCCAATATGCACACTTGGTCTTACTGATGGTCTTTAAGCCACTGATGGATGGGGAGATAGGGGCTATGCCTCGCCTTCTAAATCCATCTTTGTAAAAAAGTACCTTTAGGGTGATAATCAACGGAACAATTTTTTGTTGCAATAAATTGCACTAAATAATTGTTAGGTATTTTGCTACGATAAATCTCTCAGTTAAATCGCTCAAGGTCTATAAACAGTTTTATTGAACCAATATTTCTTGTCAAATGAATTGGTCCAAAAATCTGTTCTAAGATTTTGTAATTTTTGCAGAACAAATCTTTTGTCTACTTTGAAAACGTTTTTCTAATAAACACCTTGTTCGCTATTTCTAAAACTACCAACCTTCAAACACAAACAAGCTCAGAAATGTTGTAGCAAATACCGGCAGATATTTTGACAAATTTATTTGCAGTTAATCGTTGTGTTGATATCAAAAGTCAAAAACTTATTGTTTCAAATTATTGCTGTGATTTATCGTACAACTTAATTAGTTTCTAAGGTCTCCTACCTAAGTGATTATCTGTAGAATTTCGGAGATCTAATGATAAGAGGATCTCAGATCAGAGGACAAATTGCTCCATGGCATCCCTATTGATTGAAGGATAAACAATTCCCATTAAGCCAAAGTGGACGGGACAATAATAGATTACGAAATCTGCATTCTTCAAACAGAGGTGTTCGTGTGATTCTCGGTGCTGGGTGCTGGAAGCACGTAACAGAATGACCTGTAAAGAATGTTTGCTACTTTTCAAGCGAGCTAGTCATGGGCTCCATGCAACACAAGGAAACACATGGTTGAGATTATTTCTGCTCTGCAAACATCTGTTCATCCTTGATTCAGCAAGGCAGGAGTTTGGGTTTGAATAGTCACAGTGAAGGTCCAAAGTTAATGGATGTACATATTACACAACTTTGTTTAATAGAATATTTCAGGATCTTGTACTAGTAAACTCCTGTCTAAGATTTTCCATTTTGACATATAAATAATTAAATATGTAGTAATAATTATGAAGTAATAAGTAAAATACATTAAAATAATGTATTCCAAAATAAGTGAAATATCTTATTATACCAAAATATATGCTTTGCTTCAATTATTCCAGAATGTTTTTCAAACTCTTATACAAATACAATGAATATATTATTTATTATTTGTACTAGTAAAAATTCACATAAAACACTTAGTAATTATTATGGCATACAATACACAGTTCTATGTTCAAAAAGGGGGATTGTGAAACAATAATCCATTAAAAGTAGTTCACATCTTAAAGAAACACTCGCCTTGGTAGATACTCGATAGTTTGACTTAACTAAAATATTTTCCAATAATTAATTGGCATTTTAAGTCAGTTGCTCAGGTTGCAATTTTGCATTAGAGAAAGCTCTTTAAATGATCTGTCACATAATGCAATCTTAATTTATGGACGGAGAATGCATATATACACATTTAATTATGATTTTCGCATCATTATGGCACATAAAAATGTATACACATTTCAATTATAATTATATTAATGCACAAACGTACAAACTATTATGTACATTATCACAATTCATACAAAACTGAAGCCATATAAAGTAGCATTGCTTTGCTGTGAAGAGACATTACAAGAAACTATATTACTTTGTTCTGAAATTTTGGTCAATGAATTCACATTGTAAACAGTTCATACGACTAACATCTGCTTGAGAAGGGTCTATCAGAAAGACAATACAAGATATTAAATTTATAAGCACAATTTCCAAACGATACATTATGTTTCATTTTCATTATTATTAGGAAATGGAATTTATTGTCAAAAAAAAAAAAAAGGCATGGGAATAAAATTATATGGAATAAAAAACAGAAAATACGTAATGGATGCTCTGAAATGGGAGGGGGGATGGAACCATCCATGATAACGAACTCTACCATGCATAAATTACGGAAACACAATGTGATGATTTCGAATTTTTGAATTTACTAGAAAAAAATGCCTTAAATTTAAACTTTACCTATTTTTACAGTAAGAGGGTGTTGACCCTGACAACGTGCGTGCACCAGTCACACAATGTTCTCACCCAACATGGTACAAGGGAGTTTCACGTTTGACAAATAACCTATTGCACACCACAATAAATGTCATCGCGAGCAGCCAGTTGGACAACCCTCATGTAGACAGTGATAGATCCCAATGGGAGGGGGGGTTAAAGGGAATCTCTCCCCAAATCGATCAAGGGGAAACAATAAGATAAGATAAGATCTATAAAAAATATTTGTTAGTTTTCGATTGAGTTACAAATGTATTATTTGAAACATCAGCAAGCTCAGGGTTGAAATTACTTCTGCCTCACAAACATCCACTCATCCTTGATTCCGAGTATGAAAATGTGAAGGGGGAGGGGGTATGTTTGGCAATCCATAGAGAACATTGTGTCCACAGAAGTGCAGTATTTGTTGTGTCCACAGAATTGAACATTGAGCTGTAAGAAAGATGATTCTGTAATATATATTGCAAATCTGTGTCTTAAATGTTCCATTTTGATATTTAAATACATTAAAATGTGAATGTAGTAATAGGCAAAATATGTAAAAATGTTTAAGTTTTCCCAAACAAACAAAAATACCTAAGTAAAACCATTTTTAATGGTTCTCATTCATTCAGAATGGCTCGTACACTCAAAGTTTTAATGAATGCAGGCACATTGTTCCTGTAAAAACATGTAATTACAAGAAAATCCATTCCCTAAGTATTATTATTTGTTTTTCTGGTAATCAGAGCCAAATATATTAATTAATTAATATAGCTTCGAATAATGTATAAAATGAAAAATATATAAAGCAATGACCAAAATTGCAAACAATATTTTAAAAATTTCTTGCATTAGATCACTTCTACAAATTTTCGATGATGCACAGCTAATTTTTTGTCTTTGTTTAATAAATTTTGGTGATAAGTTCCTCAAGAAAAATCATCAATAAACAGGAATGTTTTTAAATATTGCAATTCAACCAGTCTTTAAATTGGAATTACCTGAAACAAATAACATACAATATAAACTCACCAAAAGCAGCGGAAACAAGTCAGACTAGTTTAGTTGACGATATCTGTATGTCTAACGAATTGTCAGGCGTAATTCGGTAGTCTACCCAATACCAATTACATTGAACATCAAAGAAAGCATTGGAGTAAACAATGCAATCTAAGGCCTATTTACTCACCAGCAAAAATGTCCTTAAAAATACACTTTTAGTCCTCTTGACGGTCAACAGCACTCAAATCTTGAGTGGAAGCTTCAATTAGAGAAGTGATGCGTTCTAGTTCTCTATCTAATGGAGAAACAGGTCCCGTTTGGCAACGCTCTCCATTCCTATCAAAATGTTCGTCTACTTCTCCAGTAACCTGCAGGAAATAATTTTGTTTATTTGAAGCAACTCATATTTTCTGACATTTCAAATCTCATCACATATTACAGAACATGAATAAAAATCAAGCGATAGGGATGACAATAAACAGGGAGTTTGGTGATTGGACACAGTATTCACATGGAATCACAGTCATATTTTGTGACTTTTCCTTAAATTAAATTTGACCTCTTCAGAGGAAACTTACGTGATTAATTTATCATTGTTACATGTGTTGAACTAAAATTACATTAAAATAAACTTTACAAACATAGCAGTAAGTCCTTAATGTTAAAAGCAGATATAGATACAGTGAACAGTTAATCAATAAATTTTAAATCAGTAGTACAACGACCAATGACTTTTGTGTCTATATCTGTTTTAACAGCAAGTACTGTCATGTTTAAACTAAATTTACGAAGTTCACTCTTCAAACCAAAACATGTAACTGCTAAATTGATCACATGCATTTTCTCTTAAGATGTCAACTTCAATTTGATAAAACAACACAAAATACATTATTAGGATTCCATCTAAATGCTGAGAATTCCCTCCGTATGTGCATTAATTTGGATCTGCAGTCACATCAAATAAAGATCATTATAATCTGCCACTTCCCAACACGCACACACAAACGCAGTTCCACACACATGTTTGCATGTGCATGTGTGGGTTACACAATAGTGCTAATTCCAAAACTGCCTAAAAATAGGATTTCAGTTTGCACAAAGGATATAAAAACATCACCTGGCACACACAACACTTAATAAATGAACTGTTACTGAATAAATGAAATCTAGGATGACATTTTTACTTTGATTAATTCCTCCAATCCAAGTTCTCTATGGACTTTCTCACTGCGAGGTTTTAAATCACTTCCTTTAATGCGCAGAAGTTCTTGAACAGCTGCTTGGAACGTTACAACACTGAAACTAAACAAAACAGTCATTAGTTCAACATGCTCCCAAACTATGTAAACATATTAAAATGTTTCCGTTACACAGTACCTCATAGCATCTTTTGGTGACAAAGTCCATTGAAAATGCTCAACGTAATATAAATTTGAAAACATGTGCAATGGTTTTGCTTGAATGATAACACTCATTAATAATGGAACTAGATTATCAGTGCTGAGAGAAGGCAATTCAGCATCCGCTAGAAGTTTGCAAAACAAATTAAAAATTAACAAATAAACATTTAATTTACAAATTAAATTACACATCACAGCCTCAGAATGGCCTGGTTCTGACCTTTTTTGGCAAATACTTTTTGACATATTCAATCTCTCTACTGTTAGACCTACAATATATTAACATACATAGTCGATTCCGGTTGTAGTGAACTCGTACATAGTGAACTCCTGGTTATAGTGAACTGAAGTCTCTTTTCACTTACATTACAAATAAGCATAAGAAGATTCGGTTATAGTGAAATTGAACCTTGACGAAAGTAAATGAAATACAACATCCTGGAAAAAATTACATTGCCCCAGTGCCGCAAATCCCAACATGGCAGCATGAAAAATATATCGGCCAAAGGTTATAATCAAAGAAGTCTCCCCTGAGGTGATAATAGTGGATTCAGAATAGGGGCCTTACTGATGGCCTCATGCCACTCATGGCACCACAAGGCAGTGTCCTCCGTGGGTTACAACTGGAGGCAGTGGTGATGCGAGTTTCATGCGTGAAGTTATTAGGCATGTAAAAGGATCTTTGGAGAGAGGGATGGTGTTGCAAAAGTGCAAGACACATTGAAGGATGTCAAACCTGCATTACAAGTCTGAGACATTGGATAATGGAGAATAAGAGTACAGAGAGAACACAAACTCTGGAGAAGGATCTAGGGAAATTAATAATGAAACTAGGGGTACTTAAATAGCACATATTTTCTCACGCCTTAGTAACGGTTATGTAATAATATTACACTGTATTTCTGCCTTTATCAACACATCTCAGTCGATGAGCGCTGACAACAAAGCAGCATGCAGCTACAAGGGGCAGATATTTTTTTATCAATTCTTTCTAAAAGCGCCAATGGAAGGTGGTCCATAGTTGTTGTGAAATGTGTATATATTTCATTATTTTAAGCAGAAATTACGTAAAACTTTATTTTTTATTGTACATGACTTGTTTTGAAGAGCTCAGTTTGTAAAACAAATTTTATCTGAGGCAAAAATCTCTATCTTGTGCACAGATGGATGGACAGACAGAGTGGCATTTTGCTGTCAATCAATTTTTCGGTATGAAGGACGCACAAAACATGGATTCTTGCTACCCCACGTGTTGGAGTATTTTTTTTCTTCTATATTAAGCAACTGGATCTATCCACTTTTTTTTATCAGGGCCCGGCAATAATTTTTATGTCGAAAATACTTTAGTAAGTGTGAGAAAGTAAAATGTACTAAGTAAACAATTGAAAATATAACATTTTTTATAGGAAAAACTAAAGATATTGAAATTTTAAGTTTGTGCTGTTAATATATTTTGCTACATCTCTATATCTTTGAGGATCTCTCTTTGTGGATAAATGCAGCTTAATTTTGACATCATCGGACATAGTAAACTTCTGATATTGTGAACCAAAAGTGTTAGTTCCCAGAAGTTCACTATAACTGGAGTCAATTGTACTAAGGGTTTTCAAATTAGACTTATAGAAAACCACCTATGAATGAAATGACAGCACCTTGAATTTGATTCTTCCAACTTTAAACTGCATTAAGGCAGAACCAAGGCTGAGTTTCTGGAAAAATGCAAAGGAAGCACACCCTTTCAATGACTCAAATTCTCAGAATAAAAAAACAATAATAATTTTGAAAGTCAGAAAATGCAGATATCTATCACAGGGGTGTTCAACTTGCAAAGCCTGAAGGGCCACAACTTTAATATGGTTGCAGGCCATATTTACATTACTCGGGTGATCCACACACAACTTCCCCATTTTGTTGATCACAGCAGTTTGCCTGGTTGCACTGAAATGGAGGGGGGGTGGGGGGTGGAACCATGCATAATGCAGTGAAACACAATGGTATGATTTTGAATTTCTGAATTTACTACATACACACACAAAAGGCAGGGTGCATATGGTAAGTACAAAAAATACTAGGCAGATATGAATGAAAGATCTGTTCTCTGTCCACTAATAACCTTTTAGGTTTGTTAAAACCAGTTCGGTTTTAACGGACCACAGTAAATGGCACAGCGGTATGCAGTTGGATAATCATGATCTAAGACATTATTAGCAAAAGAAACAAACAACATTGCATTTCATCACTTTCTAGTCTAGTTCATCTGCAAGGTACTTCTTTAATAACAATTCTAGATACAATATATAATACGATATAAACTTGTATATTTTAAGGTACGTGATACACTTCAGCCACTTATTCTTACGGTTATGTTTTATATATCAGTCAGCGAATATCATTTCTCCTTCTTCCAGAAAATCATCACAGGACAGAACTTTGCACTATGGGCCATGTTATAATATAACAATATATGAATGGGTAAAAACCAGAACAGTGACATTTTATAAATTCTGAGAAAACTATTGATTAAATTCAATATCTCTGTAAAGTCGTGGTGCGTCGTGATCATCATTAAACAACGACATTTCAATTGTTCTTTAAAACCACAAAATTACTTTAGCACTGAAACATAGCCTAATAAAAACATGTTTTTCAGAATTTATTAAATGTCACTAATACCATTCTGGTTTATATATAAGTAAAATGGTTACAACTTACTACTTACTTAAGAGAACACTTTGGGCATCAATAATGGCTCCTTTCACTTCTGCAAGAATTAAGTCAAGAGTTGTCCGTAGGCAGAACAGTTTGTCAATAGGAGCTGTGAAACTGTCTAAGGATGCCAATTCAACTACCTGCAATAGAGAGAAAAGGTAATATAAACATCATATATCAACATCAATACACTCAAGAAAACAGTGGCAGAATGTTTGGGCCCGCAATGGGGGTGGGGCCAGGCAAAAAAGGGCCGTTTTTTAGGCCGAAGGTGTTGCGATTGTAAGCAAAATTAATTATTTGATACTTTCTTGGGTACTTTGCAATAGTATATACAATAAAAGATTAAAAAGCGCATCTTCCAGAAGATTTTTTTTCTGCTTTGGTAGCTTATGTAACCCTGTTTGTAAATCAATGAAGGTAAGCAATTCATTAAGGTTTTGTAACACAACCCACAAAATGTCTTTCAATTAATGTGTAGGATTGACGAAAGCATTGCCAACAACACTTTTCAATAAACATCAGTTAGAATTGGGCGTTGAAAGCACTGTCTTGTACCACTTTGTGACCCATCTTTAAAGAAAATCCACAATATTAATTTTATAAAGGGGGTCTGGATAAAAGTTTTGCAAGTGGGCCCACACTCTTTTCGTTACGCAAGAAATGACGAGACAGCACTCACAGCAGCAGGCAAAGGAACAGCAAAATCTTCTGGAGCACCCAACTGATCAGCTGTCACTCCCCTTGAGGCCAACTCTCGCAGCTGACTGAGCACTGCTTCATCTTGGAGTCTATGTCGATGGCAAATGACAGGAAACAAGGTATCATGCAAAAAATGTGTGATGTGACTGAAACAAAATAAATACATAATATTCTTTATGAGCACTTCGAGGAAGCATGTACCCATCAATTTATCAACGGATATAACCAACTAACTTCTCTAATGCTGTAGTGAGTAATTTTTGAAATCGCGCATCTCTTTGTAATTCTAAGGTTTGACTTTGGAGGAATTGAACCCAATGGATACTCAAGACTTCATGAATTTTATCTTTAATGTTATCCAAATCTTCATTCCAAAATGATGCCTCTGCAATCAGTGATCTTAAGTTCGTATCCAACAGCTCCAGAGAGAACTTTGATAAAAAGTTTGATGCGCTAATACAAATAAAAAAAAAAGGATTAATTGCCATATATACATTACTCCCCCAAAAAAGTAATATAAGCACATCCTTACTCCCGCAAAGATGTTATTTTCTGGTTCAGTTGTAACAAACAATCACCTTCTGCAGGCAAAGAACAAAACCTTGGACTTAGTGGCCTATCAATAACAAAGATTTTGTATTGCTGATAATCCTGTAGAACAATAATGAACTTATTTCACTCTATTTCTACAACATTTTTAATATTCAATTTAATTTAAATATTAATGCTACTTACTTTATTGTATCCTGATTCAACACACTTAATATTCACTGAATACTTTTCATTTATTGAAAATGGAGCTTTATTCAGAGATATAGTTTCATTTCCAACATTAAAACCATAGGAATTTTCAGAACCACTCACAAATAAACTGCAACACAATATTCATGGCATGTCTTGATAAACTGCAATATTTGTAGAAGATGAAAACAAAACAAATTAATACTTAAAATATACATACTCTGTTGAGGTAGCTGAGAATGGCTTCAGTATGTGAATATCTGTAAATAATGTTCAGTATACAATATCAACACATTAGACTTTTTTAATACAAAGCAAAATTATATTAACTATCTCATACAAACCAACAAATTCTTTGTCTATTTTAATTCCACGTAATGCAGGTGAACAAGGAATGCAAATAGTCCAACAATTAGATAAAGCCATTTCATATTTTTTTCTGAATTTATTCTGAAAGAAAGGCGCAAAATGTTATGTTCAAAATACAAATTATTCACATATTTGTAGTTTTGTAAAAAGAGAAGCAAACAAAAGTGCATACTTGCAGAATTTGATAAAATACATTGTATTCTATTTCATCACACATTTTGTTCCTTCCTGATTGCAGAGTAGTTTTGATTTTCTACGTTACCCCTAACGCACATACATATCGTTGGGGTTACACTCGTTTAAATCAAGATTGTAACACGAACTTCGTCACAGGCAGGCAACACGATTGCACGTCACAACATCACAGCTGATAATACTGAACTCCAGTGCCCAGTCACGCGTTAAAAAATCGGTCATTAATGGATTATCACGATCTATCACAAGCAAACTCTGAACGCTTACTTCTACGCGTTCAATATTTGAATGCAAGTATTGTCTTTTCAAGGTTCTACTGCTTCTGTAGTACTAAAATTAAAATACCAAACAATAATTTAGTACAATAATTTGAAACCATGTCCTGGACCTCACTGACTTCCACCAGAATTATAGGCGATATAAGCGATTTTTCGCATCATTTCTCGTTAAATAGCTACTTTATACCTCCTTGACATGCACTTCTCTGCACAGCAAATAGACGACGTCAAGTTCGACTCACATTTAAGTCGAGTCTCACATGCACATGGCCTTATGACACGTGCACAGCACAGTGCACATCAGGGCCCTATAACTCCCATATAACGTGGTGGAGACCATTACAGTGGGGCGCTCTGCTGCATCACCTTCTTACAGGAACTAAAACAGAAACTGCTGCCAACGATACTTTAAACGTGCATGACTGCTGCGTGAGTTCGCGAGTCGCAAGCAGGCCCCATCATGTTACAAAAGATAACGTCTACGTTCGCGCTTTCTTCAGAGGTTTCTTACAAGTAGAGATTATGAATAATTGTACATTTAGAAGACACTTTTCGTATTTCTCACAAATTAGCCAATTTGTATATGGGAAAGTTGGCGATCCCAACCTGCAGCTGCACCCGGCGACACTAGCGCTTCCTATAGTAGCAACCTCGAGCTGTGTCCCCGATTTTGATGGAGAGTTGCCGGGCCCTGGTGCACATATGCACATGGCACACGTACTTGGATATGAACAGAATGTCAGTTAACGTAAATCAGCTGTTATGGAGTCATCCACTTGGGATGTTAAACGTCACTATAGTGACGTCACTGTAGTGACGTAAAGTTCCCGATTGGATGTCACCGAAACAGCTGATGAGCTGTCAAATGAAGCCCTAAATGAATCGAAGTGTAGTTTTCTTTCATGTCTCACACCCTTCCCGGAAGCCATCTATCGGCGCCTGTGGGACCAATCAGGTCTGGGGGCCTTCTACTTTTAATCATAATTCCATGCAGAGCCCTCTCCTGCTGGCCCTGCTCTCCAAATATCACGTCACAGTCTGGTGATCACAATTAAGACGTACTTTGACTGTCAAGGCTTTAAGGCCCTAGGGCTCAGGAATTGTCCGACTTACGTATACGACGAATTGTGTTTCGTCGGCCGGGACACAATCGAAAAATTCAATTTTAAAACTTTAGTTGTACCTATCATTGGATAACTGCGTCTCAGTTGATCACACAAACTATATTTTCATTTATTTAGAGCTTCATTTGACAGCACATCAGCTGTTACGGTGTCTTCCAATCGGTAGCTTAACGTCACCAAAGTGACGGTTAACTTCCCGATTGGGTGACACTGTAACAGCTGACTTACCTCAACTGACGTTCTGTTTAAATCCAAATATACTCCGATGTATAATATGTATCTGAGTACGGAAATATACACACTGCTGGCTCAGAGCGAAGGCTGGCGAGGCTGGCGAGGCTGGCGAGGCTGGCGAGGCTGGCGAGGCTGGCGAGGCTGGCGAGGCTGGCGAAGACGCTCGCCTTTCACCGAGGAGGTCCGGGTTCGCTTCCCGGACAGTCTCATGTGAAATTTGTTGTGCAATAAAATGAGTTTAGCTGCTTCTCAAGGGCTAGTCCGACCGTGTGGAATGTCCTAATAAACCCATTCTAATTCTTTCCAATTCTGGCAGCTGGGTAGTGAAACAGGAGCGCGTAAGAGAGGCGTGTACGCGGAGATATTATGTGGCGGTCCTATTGACAATGACTGAAACGAAAAGTGACGGACTGCATTTAAATTTAAAATTTAAAAAATGTTCTTTGCAATGTTGGTACTAAATTGAGATCCGATCTGCTAAACAGCGTTCGATAACTGCCGCTCGCACCTCTGCATGAGAAGACGCTGGACCACTGCGTGGCAAATCAACAGTTATTGGCACACAATGCGAACGGGCCCGGGGAAAAGAATGCCTATTTTAGGGGATATTTTTATTATTTAACGTACTTACACTACTTGTGTTTTCTACACACGTTTATAAAGGAGGCCGGATGAAAGCTGTACGGGCGGGCCAGCACTCATTTCATTACGCTACTGCCTCCACCCTACGTGCATAAGTTCTATAGGACAACGCCCTATCACCCAATGCATCTCCTAGGTCGACATGACACTCACAAACATTTCTGCCACGCAAATACGCAATTGCTCGCTGTTCAACCACAGTATATGTATTTATAAAGGAGCTCAGCTCAGCCCGTTTTTTGGATAAACTTCGAATTTGTAACTCTGCCCCTGGCAGGCACCATTGCGACGTCGCAATGGTGACGTTCAAGCTTCCGATTGGATGAAACTAAATCTTTGGTTATATAGTCTACCTATAGATCCAATAACTGCTATTCCTCTGTAGTTTGTTTCATTGTCTCTAGATCCTTTCTTATGGATTGGTGTTAGGTAAGACGGTCGACATTCCTGAGGAGAATCCTCTCCATTCATGCACCTTAAAAACATGTGTTTGAGCATTTGGTGCAGTTTATACGGACTATATTTCAATAATTCTACCGGTTCGTATCTCCCGAACCAGGTGACTTATTGGATTTCATGGTCTTAAGTGCTTTTTCTAAATCTTTAATTGTCAGGTCTACCCTATGCTCTAATGTTTGATAATGCGATATTGATTTTTTCATTCGATTTAATAGATTTAATTACTTTCCAGTACTTTCCTTGTGAGCTCCATGCTCCACCTATGAATTGATCTATATAATCACATTTATACAGCCACAATTTATTCTTCTTTGATAACACTTCTTGTTTTACTTCTCTACTTATTGCTTTGTACTGTAAATTATATGCATGTCACTAAGCCATTTTAAATACAGCTCTTTTCCTCTTAATCTTTTCTTCTAGACTTGTGTCACACAATTACTGTTTGGGTTTTAATTTACAAGTACCTAAACCCTCCTCTGCGGCTTGGTGAATACATTATTTTATGTGTTCATATTCTTTTTCTATTGGCTTGTGTTGAACCAATAGTTTAGTTTCAAGTCTTTTTCTGTAGAGATATGCTGTACTTTCATCGAAAAGACTGCTTAATATTTATTTGGTAGGTTTAATGACAAATCCCTCTTTATCTTCTTTATCCGTGCTATTCGATGTAAATGGTATGAATATTTTAGCAATTACCAACAATGATCGCTACAGTGGGCTCTCCGTTTCACTCTAACATCTTGGACTTTGAGTGAAGTTTTTTTGCTTGGTTACACAGAGGTCTATCATAGATTTGAGTTTTTTTTATGTTGTACCAAGTGTACTTATGAATATCTTTATGTTGGAAGAAAGTGCAACTAATTTTCATTTCATACTCTTCACAAATATTAATAAGTCTTTTTCCATTGTCATTGCGAGTTTCCTCGCAATGTTGACCCACAATACTGTTGTTCTTGTCTCTTCCAACTCTGCCGTTAAAATCTCCTGCAAATATTATTGCATATGACTTTGAAATACCGTCAAGGGTTTCTTTGACTGACATTTCAAAATCTTTCAAAATCATCTTTCTAAGCCATTGGGGCATCATCATTCAAATTATATATTCCTATGACACTAAGGTTTTTTCTCTGATTTTTAACACTACTTTAATAAGACGTTCGTTTATATACTCCCAACTTTCTATACATTTACCGAATCTTTCACCAATAACAATATAAATTCCGGCTTTGTCATTTTCATTTTTGTTTACGGAACTGTAAAAGTGTACAATGTTGTTCAGTGTTTCGCTTCCCTTGCCTTTCTTTTTTGTTTCAGACCAGACTGCTATACCTATGTTTCTTCTCATCATTTCCTGGATTACTTCTTGTTGTTTTTTTGATATGCTTTGTACATTCCGTATACCAATATTCAGAGTCCATTTTCTTTGCAGATGTCTTTTCCCTTTTGAAATATCCAAGGAATTCATATGACAGATATTTTGAGCGGTGTGATGTTTTACGTGTGCAGGGTGCTGGCCTACAGCACAACCCCCGAGCCTTGAGGGCCGGAGCTTCTATTTCAGAGGTTTCCATCCCTTAGGCTGATTGCTTCCACCATAGCTTAAGGAGTCCAGCCTATCCCTGATCCACTCTTTAGGGATGAATTAATTTCCAAGGTTAGTAAATCCCACCTTCTCCTGTTGAGTCATGCCCCATTCATACTTGGATGCTACCCGCGTAAGACCTGTCTACTACACTCTAAAGAAATAAGGAAGGAAGATGAGGAAAGACTCCCTAGCCCTCGAAACCTAATAGCGTCGGGGTCAGAAAAAACAAGAGTTGACCAAGGGAAGCTGATAGAATAGATGAAAGCATTGTGACACAAGTAAGTTGAAGATGTCACAATGGTAGATGAAGGAACCATAACGATATGAACACATCGTTATGGGGGAAGGACAAAATATAGGACAGAATGTACGATTAAGATTGGGATGGATAGGACGTGGTAGGACACGAATTGAGTATTGATTATTATTGAGATTGAGTATACCGTGCTCCTGAGCGCTCCTGAGGCCGCTGCTTCCACCACTTCAGCAAAGTGGAAATCGCACTTGCGTCAGTAACTATAGACCTGTGAGTTTAACTTCTGTCATTTGTAAGCAAATGGAGCATCTCAAAGCTGAGTACTTGCGAAATGAATGGGGCAATTTAGGATGGCTGTATGGAGGCCAACATGGGTTTCGTAAATCATTTTCATGCGAGAGCCAAACTATTTCTACATCTCAAGATATCGCTGACGCACTGGACCGTGGAAAACGAACGGATGCAAGACTTCTCTAAAGCGTTCGATCTTGTTGCACATGACATTTTACTTAAGAAAATTGCAGATACCGGTATCGACGTTAGGGTCGTTAAAGTGGATTCATGAATTCTTGACAGAGCGGTCGCAGCAAGTCCGAGTTGGACAAGTCCTATCTGGGGAGGCAAAAATTACATCTGGAGTTCCTCAGGGAAGTGTCTTAGGACCCTTGTTATTTATAGCCTTTATCAACGATCTACCCACTTCTATTGATTCCGTAATGCGCCTTTTTGCCGACGATTGCTTCATTTACCGAATAATAGAATCATCTGAAGATGAACGTGCACTGCAACAGGATCTAAATAAAAAATACACATGGGCTAAATCAAACAAAATGGAAATAAATGCCGACAAAAGTAAGACACAAATCAGTGTCACAAAATCTATACGTAAGAATCCTAATGACTTAGGAATTAATTTGCGTAGCGACTTAGGATGGGGGAACATATAAATTATGTAGTAAGAAAAGCTTGGAAGTCGTTTCATTTTGTCAAGAGAATTTTAAAGAAAGGTAACATGGAAAGTAAAAATTGAATTACACAGCTTTAGTTAGGCCAACCCTTGAATACTCGTCAGCTTGTTGGGGTCCGTACAGAATAGGTCAAATAAAAGAATTAGAAAAGATCCAAAAAAGGGCAGTGAAATTCATAAATAGAGGATTTGCAAGGGAACGTGACACACAAACACATTTTGAATCATTAAGTACCCGCAGAAAGAATGCAAGATTATGTTGTATGTTTAAAGCGTATAATAAATCTCCAGCGTGGGAGGGAATAAGTGGAAGACTAGACAGTCCTGCACGTATAGGGAGAAAAGATCATAAATGGAAAATAAAAACTCAACGGCAGCGAACTGATACCGGTAAATATTCATTTGTAAATCGCACAATTAGGGATTGGAACGAAATACCTGCAACAGTCATGGAGCCCTTTCCCAAGGATCTAAAGTGTTGTAAAAATCGCATAAGAAGTCTCAAATAGTATTTTTTAATATTTTTATTTTTATTTTCTTCAAATTACTAACTATTATTAGTGAAGTGAAGGGCAGTTCCAGGGAAATTCAGTGTGATATGCGACATTACCCATGTTAAAATAAATTAAAATATAGTGGAGTGTGGGGCTGGGCGTTGCAGTGTAGTGCAGCGTAGCAAGATGTAGCAGAAGTGAATAGTGTAAATGAAATAAAATTTAAGATTAGAATTAGATACAATAGAATACGATA